AAACTTTTGACAACATATTTTGGTTGTGGCGCAGAGTTTATATATTTATCTGAGGACTCTTTAATATATTAGCTCATACATACATTCGTATTCACAACAACCTAACATAATTTCAAATTAAGGTCCATATGTGTTATATTATATACATACAGAGGTATAAACATGTGTATACCACATACATATATATATATATCTGTGTACATATACATATGGTATATCACATTTTCAAACCCATGAATTCCACAAAGCCGAAGAGGCGTAACTTTCGGTCTAGACGGTTAGTCGTTGACAACCTACTACACAGGTGTACATTGCGCACTATTACATGCATACATACGTGCATATACCGTCAATTCGCATACATTCACATGAAACATTACACTTCTTTGTTTCATTAATTAAATATTTGACATGGATGCTTAATGCAGTTTTTGGTAAGCAAAGCTCTTTTTATGCGCAAGTTTGCAGCTTTTGCAATGAAAACCTGCGTTTTTTTAACGTTTTTGGGACTTTTGTAGTTTTCCTGGATTATATAAAGCAGTATTTTTATTGTGTGTGTTAGTAACGGTAAATAATGTTGAATTTAGTAAAGCTTTAAATGGTAACTAAATTAGCATAAATGCAGTTTGATCGCGGATTGTGCATTTATTCTGCAATATCGAAATTTAACCTGGATTATTCGTTATATAAAAAAGCTTTGAATTATATTTCTCATTTTACACTAAAAACTACTCTTTTAGTATTCAGTAATAAAAACAATATTTGGAACAAAATAATAATTCAAAACACCATAGCACCCCCAATTTTCACTACATACACTCACTGCTATTTTTGTGTTTTTCAAACGCCTCACGGCGTATTTATTTTTGATTGTTGGCTATCAGACCAATATACCATATATTGTACCAAAATCGGCCTAACAACTGCCTTCTTGATTTAAAATGACTGCTCTACACGCCAATAGGTATAAAGTGCTATAACTGCATTCTCTGGTGTCTTAATTTAGTTTCCATGACAGCTACTTGTCTGAAATTAATCCCAAGTAGCTTGCTTTCTCTCCTAATTTGGCGGCGTAAAAATCGGTATTCTGTGTTTTCTGGTAAAGAATACTAGCTCTGTTTTGCTTTCATTTAAGTATATTCCGCCCGATTCGCCCCATTAATTTATATCGTTTAATATTGTTTGTACCAGGTTAGCGAGTGTACTTGAGAATTTACCTTTTACCGAACTCGCCACATCAGCAGCGTAGGCCACAACAAAAGATCTTTTCTAGATATAATCGCATTTGAACTCTCAAAAAGCTCTTACTTATAAAGTAAGTTTCTTATTTTATATTAAAAAATATTTAATTTTTTAGATTTTAAACAATTTTATTTTCAAATATATTTATCTAAGTGTTCGTAAAAATATATTTCAAATAATTTTAAGCTGATAGTCATTATTTAATAAATATTGAAGAACATATTCTTCGATAGATAGCAAATTCTACTCAAACCTACAGTGTCGTCATTATACATAGCATTTATTTAAAAGTAAAGCTAAAAGCGACTATACCGTAACTTCTACTATCAAGAACAGTTAATAATAGTTGAGATACAAGCACGTAATGTCATATCTGTAAGTCTGCATTCTATTTTGCATTTACTTCAGCTATGATCAGCTATATATTTCGGAACATATGTTCAACTCTTCATCAGCAAATATACTTCCATTCAATTCACAGCTTTTGCTGATAACCTAGATGGATCATTAGGAAAAATACCTCAATAAGAAGAGGTTGATTTTCAAGAACGATAAAAGCTACGTCTTCACTTGATAAACCTCCTTGAAAGTTAGTCCTACGGAGTCAAGCATCTCAACTCATTGATACAATAAAACCACTGAGCTTTGACATTCAATTCAATATAAAAAAGTATGGACGAATATCATCTATAGCGAACAAACTACGTCAGACTGTAGGTGTTTCTGTAAGCAAGAGAGCCGGGAGTGTCCCTTCAGTATTATTTGTTTTTTAAAAAGCATTCAATTTTATTTGCTGTTGTGAGCAAAGTGCTCTCTAAATTTATTTCACAGAACAGAAATTTTGGAGGTTTCGACGGTTGTTCCCCTTGGGAATTTAATTTTTATAAATAATACGCATATTTACATAATTATTTTTTTTAATTTAAATATATGGTATATGTTTGTATGTATAAACAAAAAAAGTTAAAAATGTATTTACAGTGAAACCTTGATATAACGATTCGTTATTAACGAACCTCAATAAACCGAATTCTTTGACACAAGGAATTTTTCAAAATCCCTAGGGGACCATTAGAGCTCATGTAAAATATACCTTTGTATTACGAATATTTTTTTTTCAACCTCACTATAACGAATTTTTAGACTCAGCAAAATATAGATCGAAACTATTTTTGACCTTTACTTAACGAATTTTTTATCCACAACCTTCATGTAACAAATGACTGCTTTCTCGTCAGCTGTTTGACTGTAGTCAAAAACATCCCCCCCCCTTAGTTAATCCCTTTTTGACTATAGTTTGCTCACTCCCTCCACTTGCTGGCAAAAGCTGATGATTTGATTGGCTCGCAGCAACTTGCGACTTTTGCAAGCAGCTGAAGATGCAAAGCTCAAATTTTCAATTCCTCTTTCGCTGCAACTACGATCACTACCTACAATCAAACAGTTTTTTTAAAACTAATTGTAAACTTCGTCCTTTGATCCAGTAAATTCAGTTGCAATGGCTGAAAAACGTAAAAGGTGTTTGTTAAATGTTGCAGAGAAACGAAAAATAATCAAGTTTGTAGACGAAAATCCTTTAGTAAAAAGATTAGAGATTGCCAGGGAGTTTGACATTCCAACAAGTACATTAGCTACAATTTTGAAATCAAAAAAAAGATTTGCTGAAGAAAGCGGGCTACCTGCAAATAGTATACATAACAAACCTCACTGTTACGAATAACTCGATATAACGAAGATTTTCTAGTTCCTTTAGATTCGCTATATCAAGGTTACACTGTATTATGGATATGAAGTCAGTGTTACTCACAAAATTTTAATTTGTTCCATAAACTCAGGATTTCAAATCACATATCCATATATGGATATTTAAATAATTAACCACACAGTTACATATAATATAATTGTAATTTTTTTTATAAGAAATATACTCGTATATTGAATGATATTAATACTACAATTTTACTTTCCCCAGATAACTGCAAGTTTTTACCATTCGGTAATGCATGTCCGTGCTTGCTAATATTTTTATGTTTAAGCTAAATTCAATAATTTGCAATATATCTAAATATATTTAATTATATTAATATTTTATATACTTTTAATATATATTGCATACTTATATAATACTCGTATCTAATCTTGTCGCATGTGAATGTGTTTGTCCTTTAATCCAGTTGTACGCCTCGCCTGTTCTCTCAATGCATAGTTGTGTGTAGTGCTCGTAAACTTCTCGTGTGGAAAATGTAAACAGCCTACAATATATCAGTACCTATTTGCAATTCAATGATTCAACAACAAACCCTTTCCCCTTGTGTTTTCTTTTCACCGCATTCGTGTTTGTTTTACTTACCACAACAAAACCAAAATCAAAAACAATAAAAATTTCAAAAAATAAAAAAATTATAATAAAACCAAAACGCCAACCACAATATATAGTCCACCGGTGGTGGCAATCAATCCACTGCAACACCAACAAACACAACACAATCGTCAACCTGCAGCGAAGGCAGCATCGACGAGCACAACGAAGATGAGCTCGAAGACGTGCAAGAAGTCGAGGAGGAAAACATGGAGGAGCTCTATGCTGAGGACGAGGAAGTAGTGAAGAAGAAAGATGCTTACAACGTTGAACTTACGCGAAATGATGAGTGGCTGGCAATATCGCCCGCCGATAGTGCCAGCGGCAACAACAACTACAGCTGTAACGCAGCAGACTCCATAGAGGCTACCGACAACGCAGACGATTCCCTAGCGGCCAATTACAATCTCGATAATTGCAATGCCAACACCAATATCAATTCCAATAGCAATGGCTGTGCCGGCAATTTATTTTATAATACCAATATTAATGTGAATGCCAACACCAATCCCTGCACAAGTAGCAACAACACATCCCCAACCAATTGTAGTGCCCCGAATGTTAATGCAACGCCTAATCGCAATCGATGTAACATTTCGCAAATGAATCAAAATCAGAATCACAGCCACAATCTTAATCAGAATCTGAGTCAAAATCAAAATCAAAATCAATATTTGGTTCACAATTCGAATTCGAATCTAAATTCGTTAGCACAAAACCGCAACCCAAATTATATGCCAAATTCCAATACGAATGCGAATGTGAGCACAATTCACAACCAAATGAATCCAAGTATTTCCTCCAGTCTAGAGATAATACTCTCACCTATAATACAAAGTAGTCGACGGTAAGTTGTTTGAAAATTACTTAAATTATTTTTAAATTTTTATCAAAGTAGTCTATTTTATATTATATGGTATACGATATAAGTCCCAATGGTTGCGATGTGGTTATTTACGTTTTATTAAATGTTTCAGTGAATATCCTAAACAAAGAGGGTTCAGTATTATATAAAATTTTTTTTTTATTATATAAAATTAACCTTCACTGTTATGTTTTCTATTGAGCCGCAGTTAAAGTATACGAAATTTGAAGAGTCTCCACAACTATTTGCATGTAAAATATATATACTATTAATAAATTGATACATATAGTAAATCTAAAGATATACATTATTACAACATAATGTACTTGAAATTTTTACGCAACCTTCGAAGATTTTTTATCGATATTTGCGATCTATTGATCGAAGGAATACAATTTTTAATAATAATAATATAAGTTAGTAAAATGTGTAGTTATTATTTTATTTGTACATCTCAACAGAAAGGTTTTTTTTTTTTTTGAAATTTTGCAACAGTTGGCAACTAGCTTCAAGCTTCTAACACTAAACTATATTATACGCCATCTCTTATTTACGAATTTTGCAACTTTTATTTTAGCTAAATAATTGGCAGCAATTTTCAAACATATCTTACATATCTTTCTTAAATTTCCTATTTTTGGGGCCCAGTATTTACTAAAATATGTCTGCTCTTACACCTAAGCTTCAAATACAAAATAAGTGACTACTCTACAATATACATATATACATTATTTTTTTGTGAAAATTTTTTAAAGGCCTGTCTCACACACTTTTACCTGTTGTTATTATCTTAGAATATCGTTTGACCTAATATTAAGAGATCGCATTTTGCCAATTACCTTACTACCACTAATAGGACTACAAATTGGCTGTAGGTCAAAGGTTAGATGGATAGTATAGAACCGTTGTAGTTGTTGGTGTTTGACATAAATCAAGACAAAATCTAAAATAATCTCAGCAATGTCAAAGCTCTTCAATTATTTACGGAGGTGTATTTTAACTTACGGAATCCCACTTCTAATTATGAAAAGTTCCGCAAAAGATTTAATGAAGCTGTAAGCGCCTTACAATAAGAGTGATATGAATTTAAAAAAAACAATAATTGTTACGGAAATTCAAATGCTTTTTATTTAATGTGAAGTACAACTGATACAATTAAGTTCTGGGGATAACATCATTCAAATAGCCCTCATGACCCACTTTTGGAGTACTTTTTACACTAAATGAAATCATATGTCATGAATGGCATGTTCAATATTGGCTTCTAAAGCTTAAAGAGAGTTTTGTTTATTTACCGCACCACTCAGATGAAAGTGAGCCTCGAAAAGAGCACACAAAGTTGTAATTGGAGAACGATTATTTTAATAAATAAATTGAATAATTTGTAAACGTTGTTCTTGCGTATGTCTTTCCATGATGAAATTGTAAGCATTACTGAATATAATGAAAAAAGAATTATAGATCATGACATATTAAAAATGGCCGAAACGACTATTATATCATCCCTATTGGAAAACCCGATATTCAATATATACACATATATATATGTAATTTATTTCGGAAAATATTCGATATTCACAACTCTTTTAAAACTCACCTATTTCTTCAGAAACAATTTATATGCACGTCTTGGTCAAATAAGTTGAATACAAAACTATCGCTTGATTGTTCACGAGCTATAAATCGGCAAAATTGTACTAACATTTACGCATGCATTGTGCACACTTCAGCAGTCTATGCCAAAGCTATGCTTTCGATTTATATACTGAAGTATTTTAAAATTATTATATAATCATATTTTCGGCGTTGTAGCCACCCAATTTAACACCGTTGAAAGAGATGCCGAAAATATTTGGCCTGAGCACATTTGGTTGATATAGCATGAAATGTTTGTGAGATATGATTTTACCTAAAAGGAGGACCAACCGCACTTTTAAAAATATTCAAGTGCAAATTGTGAGCGCGGCAGTGGTCAGCTTCCACCTAACCTCGAATAACGTGTTCCAAGTTTTATCCAGATACCTTAGAAAGATATTTTATAGAAAATTTACTAACACAAAATTTGTTCTCTTTCTAAATTGATTTCCCAAAAATGGGTAACAGTCTGAGGTTTTCCTATTTCCGATTTCCAAAAATTAAGAGAAACTTAAAATGCCGTCGCTTTACAAGATAGATGAAATTCGCTGAAAGTGCTTAATGATATCCTACAAATCGAGTTCGAGAAGTGTTTGGACGATTGGAAGAAGCACTAGCATAACTGCATAATCCCGAATGGGCATTAATTAATGAAGGCGACAACATTTTTGTAGACGAAGGAATAAATTTTTTTCCGAAACTTCCGAAATTTTCCGAAAACGAAAATTCCTGTTATTTTTTTAACACACGCCGTGAACGATGATATTTTAATAACTATTTTATAATATAACAATTTCCGAGCTAGTTTGATATTTCACTGCAGGATTATTTTGGTAGTATTCGTTAAGAAACTTTCCAGAGTATTTCTAAGCTCTCATTAGAATAATGTTTCGAACAATATTATTTTTAGCAATCATTAAAATGCAAGATGCTATTTCACTGGAAAAAAGTTATTTCTGTTCATGGTGGTAAAAGTATTTTCAAAGCGCCGAACAAAGTTGTTAAAAACTTTAAAATTTAAACAGCATGAAGTGGCTTAGAATCATAAAGCAAAACAATAATTTGCAAAATTAATGACAAATGCAAAAATCATGAAAGCAAAAATGCGAAAATTTGTAAACCAAAAACGGCAAATGAATTGAAATAAAAAGCAAAAAAAAATCGCACAAAAAGTGAAAACAGATCAAAAAAGCAGCGACAAATGTTTGTATAATGCATAAAATATTAATATTCATGAAAGCTGAAAAAGTTTCGGCCATAAAAAAGCGGCGGCCCACAAAAACAACAACGATAAAAGTTATAGCAAAGTTTACGAAAACCGAGCGAACTGCCGTGCAAACACAACATGCCTCGAGCGGCAAAGCCAACATTTGGAATGATACAAAATAAATAAGAAAACAACAACACAAACAAACAACAGAATTTCAACAAGAAAACGACAATAATACCATGGGGGAATGCTGATTTCCACGCCGTCAGCTGACTTCAGCAGATTCTTTAATGCAGATATAATACAAATCCACATGCGTACATAAATATTTGTTTATGTGTGTGTGTGCACTTTATTTGCGCAACTGATTTCGCGAGTCTGCAGAAAACTCCAGCCGGGCCGCCTGATTGTCTGTTTTATGCATGAGAAAGTAAAAAGCTCGCAAATATTTATAGCGCCAGCACCAGCGAACACCAACACACACACTCACTCACACCCATTTATAAAGAGAACAAACAATATTCGCGAAATTCAAATATGGCCTATGCAACAAAAACAAATGGCAAGTCAACTTTCAATTCCGTTTACTTTTGCGCCAGCCGCTTAGTGGGAGATGTCGACGGCAACTAAGCGGCCCTCCGGGTGGGAGTATACCTCACACTCTCAGTTTGCTGCTTGCAGATCCTCCACTTTTGCTTTCTGTAGGCGGTTGTGCGTCTCAACGCACAGCGAGAATATACTCGAGTGAACTGAGCTGTAGCGCCATCTTACTTTCCACCGCACAAAGTCATCAAGAGAATTGATTTTAAAATCGAAGATTTTGGCAAGGCGTAAAGACAATGGCAAGTGTACAAAGGCACAAAGGCAGAGAGGGTGAGAGAGGGGGTTGGTTGCGAACAGTCGTATTGTAAATAATTTACTTGGCATTTCACATTGTGAAGGGCAATTGAATGTTCTTTCACTTTTGCAGTTATTTCCAGTGACGCGGCATTTTCTTGGCTGTCAGTTCGACAGTTTGAAGGGGGTGTGGCGCGTAGGCTTGGTGTGTTTTCACGGTTATTAACGATGCAAATTCAATTTATTAATGACTTCAGTTACGCGGCAAAATGTCAGTTAAAAGTAAAAGTTGAGTCAAGTCGAACTCGGTCGAGGGTTTGGCAAGCCATTGTCATAGCCAGCGATTTCATGCTAATTCTGAAAGAAGTAAATAATTTGTTTAACCTTAAATAGACATAAAGGTTATATTTAAGGTGGTGTGAATTATTTGAAAACAGAAAATATTTTTTATTTGAAAATCAGATGAAAATTTTTGCGGATAACACTGCCTTAATATGAAGTCATTTAATTATAATGATTTCAGCCTTCTCCCTAGAGGAAATCTAAAAATCACTACTAGCAGATATTGTCTACGCAATGACCTACAAACGAAAATACAAGTAAAAAAGTAAAAAAAAAGGTTGAATTTTAATCAAAATTTTTATCGTTTTTGGTATGCCTAAATTCAATTTTGGATTCAGATCAAAAAACTGGTAGGTTATTATTTAAAAAAACTAATACAGAACAGTCAGATAGTGAGTAGAATCACCACTGAAGCAAATCTGAAAACTACTGTTTCGATAAAAAGGCGATTAAAGATCAACTGATGGAGCTGATTGAAATGAGCGAGAACATTTAAGAAGCCTGTAACTCAAAACGTTTTTGAGATATCAATTCAAAATTTTAATACATTATTTCTGAGGATAAAGCCAATCGAAACATCTTTTTATACTTTTGCAACATATTGCTATAGAGTATAATAGTTTTGTTCCCCTAACGGTTGTTTGTATCATCTAAAACTAGTCGATATATATATACTAAACGTTGTCCTGTCCACGTATTAAATGTAAACTTTTTGAAATTAGCAGTAACAATTAGACCGTTTTGATGACAATTTTAATTAGAAACTTATTACAATATCTAACGTCATTCATATATATTTATCACAATCCGACCTTCCGATAACGTTTCAATATGTATATTAGAATGCTTTCAGAGGTGTTAATTGTAGAAGCTGTATTGAATGAAAACTTGAAGTCATTTTAATTGATTGTGAAAAGATTGAATCTATATTATAACGGGTATTTATTCTTAGAGTAAATTATCTACAAAAACTAAAGTTATCGTAATGCCATAGGAGACACAATATTTTTGGTTAATCCTTGAGAGGTATAAACAAATAAATTCGATGGTTTCCTTACTCTTGAGTACGCAAAGTATAATTGGCCGTGAGAAAAGCACGGATTTTCTACATCTAATCCACAAATTGTCATTGCTTGACCTTGTGCATTATTAATAGTCATCGCAAATGTCAAGCAGATGGGTAATTGTAAGCGTTTAAATGGTAACAGC